CTGCTTATTGTAGCCCTTGAAAGGCTCAATAGTTGTTATTCTCATTTTAAACAACATTAATTCATAATGGTATGTATTCTACACAATCAGTTTTAAAAGGCAATTAATTCACATTTTTCATTAACATTTTCAATAATCACAGAAAAGAAGGTATATATATTGATTGTGTAAGTTTTATATCATCATGAATTATAAATATTTTAAGGTTATTTAGGATGAGAATTATAGCTATATTAGCCCTTTGAGCTAAATTAAGCAAATTGTTTTGCCAATTCAATTTTATAATTGTTTTACTAGTGTTAGTCTGTCTAATTGATGCATGCTTGTATGTAAATTCAATGTTGTTCTTGATATTCAGGTTACCATAGCAATTTGTCTCAACAGCATATGTTTTGAATGACCTCTTACATGGTTGCTATGGTGACTTCACATAGCATAAAAGAGAATCCTGCATGAGACAGCTGTCACACTAATCTGGGGTCTGTTGCTCAAAAATAAAAATTATAAGCTATAAATTGTTACTGCAATGAAATATGTTTTTTAAAAGTACAGTCAGTATGCAGGTCATAATGACTTTGGGTAAATGGTAGAGAAGGGTAAATGAGGCCATTAAGATCAGAGAAGGTATGCTGAATATTTCTACTGTCTGTTCATTGAAATTACAAATTTTGTTGAGCAATGGCCCCTATACAAATGAGGAACCACTTCCTGTTTCACTTTAAAGAAGTAGATAAAGAACAAACATCTATTGGTTCTCAGGAGCTTTATTGTTTATTTCTATGGGTCTATGATGCTAATACTGGAAAACCCATGGCTTACCCATCGGCTGCAACTGCTGGTACCATGCTCCCAAGTCAAATGCCAGTCATGGTCAGTAGATTTTTATAAGCCAATCAGCTTAGACCAAGGATTAACTGCTTTTTCACACTGGCTGTCGCTTAAAATTGCTTATTTTTGAAGGGCATTGGTGCTTAGTGCAAAATATGAACTGACCAACTGACCATTGTTTCTTAATATATATCTGAAACAAACATAATTTCAATTGTTTATAAATTGGTCAATTCACCCAAACAGAGGGAAGGTGTTATGTTTCTAATGAAAGCATTGAATGACCTAGTTGTATTACTGTATTTGGGCATTTACCATATATGGAAAATAGAAAAAACATTTGCTTATAGAGGCTTGGATATAGCTTTATGATGTAGATGGGCTTTTTTGCATTGTATGAAATATATCTAATAGCATCATAAAACGCACTAACAAAATTAGAGTGGTTGATATACATGTACATATAGGCTACGAACCTTGTCAGTATGATAATTTATTTTTAATTATAAGGTCTACTGGGCTCTTTTGATATAACAAAATCATATGGGTCAACTATGGGCTGTTTGTTTTGGTGGCATTGGTGTGCCCAGCTTGGAGAGGACATGATTTTCAAGATTCTAATTTCAACCATCTTCTGCCAGCAGGGTACATCTATGCAGTGAAAACAAAGTACTGTGTTTGTCAAATCTACCAAGAGTAGGGTATATTTGTTTCCAGTGCAGCAAATTAAAGAAACACTTATATGGTGTGAAACTTGCAGGCCTTGATCTGGAAGCATCTACTTATTTCAACTTGCACCACAGTTGACCTTTGTGATAATATAGGCATGGCATTATAAATAATATTGCTATGTGTGATGTTGTGGGGAGCATTGGTATTCACAGCTTTCATTGTTATGCAATTTGATATGCTTCATTGCTTTATTTTATTTTCATTTATAGTTTAGATTTTATTAGTTTTGTTTGGTGAATTAACATTGTACGGGACTGTATATATAATATGTGCTTAATGTAACATATTCTTACAATTAAGGATTTGGGAACTTTATAACTAATATGTATTGTTTTTGATTTGGAATTCTATCTCTTTGTTCATTTTTCTTGCATATCTCTTAAATGTTTTTTTATTGCCCCAAGTTAATTTTCAGATTCGTAGAAGGTTTCAGGTTATCAGCATAACAGTCCTTTACATATTGGATGAATTTCATGGTCTAATGTTTAGAATTGAAAATTTAAAGTGAACAGCTATATACTTGTAGTGAACACTGTAAATCATATGAATGGAAACACATTGTGGCATTTCATCCAGGTTGATGAGACATGTTAGATAGGTAGAGATTGATTATTCTTTCTAAATGTCAATTCTCTTTCCCTGCATGTTGTATTTTTACTAATTTCAAACCAGAAATGTTCTAGCAGGAGAGAGCACTTGAGGCTTATCTGAATGAACTACTGTAGATGAGATCAGAGATATTATAAATTGGTCTAGAGCTAAAACACATTGCCATCATGGTAGATAAATGGAAATACATGTAGAATGAATAAGAGTGGCATCAACCAAGTTTATATACATATAACCAATACTTAAAATTAACAATAAAGAGTACAGACATTTAGCCAACAATCTCAATTAACAAGGAATGAAGAATACAGATATTTAGCCAATACTTTAATTTAACAAGAAATAAAGAATACAGACATTCAGCCAATACTTTCAATTAACAAGGAATGAAGAATACCATCATGAGAAATCATGGCCTCCTATTAGCTTCACAGTAGTATTTCTGGTTGAAGACAGAAAGATGTGATGAGTATCAGAATGAAAGAATACAGACATTTAGCCAACACTCTCAATTAACAAGGAATAAAATATAAAGACATTTAGCCAATACTCTAATTTAAGGAGGAATGAAGAATACAGACATTTAGACAACAATCTTAATTAACAAGGTATAAAGAATACAGACATTCAGCCAATACATTCAATTAACAAGACATAAAGAATACAGACATTTAGCCAACAATCTCAATTAACAAGGAATGAAGAATACAGACATTTAGACAACAATTTCAATTAACAAGGAATGAAGAATACAGACATTTAGACAACAATTTCAATTAACAAGGAATGAAGAATACAGACATTTAGACAACAATTTCAATTAACAAGGAATGAAGAATACAGACATTTAGACAACAATTTCAATTAACAAGGAATGAAGAATACAGACATTCAGCCAATACTTTCAATTAACAAGGAATAAAGAATACAGACATTTATCCAATACTTTAAGTTAACAAGGAATGAAAAATACAGACATTTAGTCAACACTCTAAATTAACAAGGATTCTAATATGATATGTGACGTCACAATAGCTAGAACAATTGATTTACTGGTCTATATTGGAGTATGTATGACCTCTAAAATTCATAAATGCAGAGCTGTGTTTCTTGTTTGTTTATCATATTAGAATCGTAACAAAGACCTTGATTTTATGATTTATGTCAAATACATGACCTAAAATTTTATTATGGCTATTGCCAAAGACCTCAATTGCTACGCGATCTCGGTCTTTTAACAATAAATTTTTCAGTCATATATTACGCCATAAATCATAAAATCTTGGTCTTTATTCCTTAAATTAAGTATACAGACATTATGCTAATACTCTAAATTAACAAGGAATAAAAAATACAGACATTATGCCGATACACGTACTCTAAATCAAGAAAACGAATTAAGTATACAGATATAATGCTAGAACTCTAAATCAACAAGGAATAAAAGATACAGACATCAAGCCAATTTTTGTATTTTGGAGTATGTGAATATGAACGTTTCTCAGAGAGCAATATTACGCATAATTCTCTAACATCTGACCAGTTGAAAGTTGAAAAAGTGGTGTGTCTAATCCCATGCTAGGCAACTATCAAATATTATATAGTGTGATAACCATCAATCCTCTCTGGTCTACAGTTCGCCAATATCCATATATTATTCATAGATTTTCTAATAAAACAAGATTTTACTTCCTTATATGCCACTGCAAAGTCAAAAATGATTGATTCCTATAAACTTTGATTAATCATTTAGGCTTGAATTCTGCCAGAGACCATCAGTCATACTAGCACCATCGAATTATTTGAAATCAAAAAAAGTTTTAGGTTTTAAATGATGATACACCTAGATCTACATATACATGTATAGATATAAGAAAATGCTTGAATGGTACTTTCATGCACACAATTACAAATTGTATGTGGAGAATCAAATTTCAATATGAGCTGAAATATGTCAGGTCTAGACTGTCTGTTGACTATCATGTATACCAAGCCAGGGATAGCAAGCTACATGTATACCCAGATATCTTTTTTTAGAAATTATACATCAATGGACCATAGCAAAATTAGCTTCATGTTGATGAAAGATGGGCACCTAGAACATAATTGTATTATTTATTGTTGTAAATATATTAGAAAGATTGTTTGTTCTAAATAATAAAATAGCTGTACTGCATACATGTACATGTATATCCCATTGTCTCCTGCTGAATAAGCACATCCCCAAAAGAACAGATATCAGGATGTATATCACTCAATTATATGGATGTTCTTGGTGAATGGGAAATATACAAAATAAACAATATACATTTGCTTTCACTATCAAAGTATGTTGAATGCATTGTGATCTATTATTATCTAATCGTATGAAGTTCAGGGGAATATAGAGAATGGCTCCATCCATCCATCCATTTGTCAAATCAATAACTCAAATACTGTTATATTTTATAAGTATATGCCCAATGTGAGTACAAGTTCTGCTCAAATTTTCAAAATGGATGTCTATTTCAAAATTACAGCCATTTTTTGTGTCTATTTTACAGCACTTTGGCTAGTAAGAGGTCATTTAAAAAAATGTGGCCATTTATATGTTATTTGTGAAGGGATTTTGTTGAAATTTCATATGTGAATGCTAAGAAAAATATGACACCGTCTACTTGACAATTTGGCGGCCATTTCTAAAAATAGCAGCCATGAACATACAATGGGATTTGCTACACCTTGGCATTGCTGTTATCTAGGATCTGTTTTATTGATTCTGTATTTATTTTTGGATTATTTTGGTGATAATTAGTATATGCTATAGTATTTTTCTTTTCCTTTTTTTGCAGTCTTCCATTCCTTCAGCCTATACTTCATACAGTGTAAGCATGGTTCATTCTGTAAACCCCTTCTTCCAGCTTATATTATGTGTATAGTATAAGCATGGTTCATTCTATAAACCCCCTCTTCCAGCTTATATTATGCATATAGTATAAGCATGGTTCATTCTCTAGATCCTCTCCAGCTTATTTTATACATTCAATGTAAGCATGGCTCATTCTGTAACCCCCCTCTTCCAGCTTATATTATGCGTATAGTATAAGCATGGTTCATTCTATAAACCCCCTCTTCCAGCTTATATTATGCGTAAAGTATAAGCATGGTTCATTCTATAAACCCCCTCTTCCAGCTTATATTATGCATATAGTATAAGCATGGTTCATTCTCTAAACCCCCTCTTCCAGCTTATTTTTACATACAATGTAAGCATGGTTCATTCTCTGCACCCTCCCAAATTATCCAGCATATGCTACATATGTAGGCTCATCTACACCCCCTCCCAAACAACCAGAATATCATGGCCAGTCTAGTACACAGTCCCCTGATGCCTTCCCTTGAGATAAATAATCCATTTTATGATTTGGACTGGGAGCTAGACTGTGTATTAGCAGTTGAAAATTATTTTTGGATGAGCAGATTACAAATTTAAAACTAAATCATAATAGAATACTATTGTAATGTTTGATTTTATTCAGATAATCAAAATCTTAATATTGAGATAATCAATTTCAAAGGTCATCCTGACTTTTCGATCATTATGATCATTTCTTTTTCATGTTTTCATCTTGTTTCACCTATTCAGTAGGAATAAAGAAATGATATTGATTGTTATCTTCATACTTTATGTTTATTTAATGGAACTTAACTTCATGATGAAGTGTTTTTCAGTTATTCAGATTTATTGACAATGCTTATTATTTTAAAAATCTATATCTGGAGAAAATGAGAAACATGAAAAACTGTCAACATTATTTACATCTAAGACCTAATCTGCTTTCAAGTAAACAATCAGCTGCTTTTGGGTTATAATTTCTAATTTTACATGATGATGACAATTTGAAGAGGTGGTCAGTGACCCATGATCTTATCTGACCAATTATAGCAGCTAGCAATGGTCATGTGACTTTATCTAGCCAATGGTATAAGCTAGGTTTGGTCAAGTGACCTTAGACATGTCCTCTCCTCTTGAATTGAAATTTTCTAATGTTTCACTGAGATATGTAAAACCTACTGTAGTACAGATCAGGTAAAGAGGCATTGTTTTTGCAATTTCATAATTTCTAATAGGAATCTAATTGAATTGATTGCCAATGCACTATCAGGTTATTCCCCAGACAGTATATATTATATAAAATGGAGATTCTATTTCATTTTTATACACCACAATATTTGTACTGCTTGCCATGGTGGTACAATGAAAACAGATCAATCATTAGGCTTTGGTGACGTCTCTAGAATAAATTATAACATAACAAAAATATTAATGTCACTTTTGCTTTTGGCGTCACAACTGCTTTTTATAAATGAAAGCTTTCTGCACATCGTATATATTTACTAATAACTGTATATTTCATAATTGCCATGTGACAGTTCTACATGTATATATCATGAATTAACTGTAAAAATGAGAAAAAATGTTTTTGTTTGTTATTGCATTATAAGTCTGACATTTAATTTTCTCTTAAATTAACCTGGTTTAAAACAATCTTAATTTGGATTGATTATTTGTTGATATCTGAAATTAAGGATGATTTTTCCTGTCATTACAGGCACACCATCCGTCTTTCATCCAGGCAGCAGCTGTACACCCTTACATGCAACAGACTTTACAACAAATGACATCACTACCACCAGCCAATGAGGCTCCAGTACTACACACCCAAGCCGCCAATATTATCCCCACATCACAAGCTGCTGTTGCTGCCGCTGCGCATGCCACTAAAGTTACACGGGCAGATCGGCTTGAGGTAGGTCTGCGAGAAATCATGATTTTATGCATTTTTATGCAGCACCTAAAATTGTAACATATTTTTTATATTCACTTTATAGTGAAGGGATTCAGTCTTGCTCTCAACTTGAGAACTTAGAAATACTGAATCTTTTTATTATAGAGTAACTTTATGAGATCACAATTATAATGCATTATGGTGTCTCAATAAAATTCAATAAAATCATGGTAGTTTTCGCTGTTGTTTGACTCTAACTTGAGTATACTGCAGCTATATGTACAGTACAAGTCAAAATAAAGCAGCTTTGGGGAGCAGTGTAGATTGCTTTATGGCCCTTCATTCTCTCCTTTAACGTAAAATATTATGTTGGTCATGTTGTGAAAGACAAACTACAGTGAAAAACAGAGGAAATATGAAGGAAACATGCTGTAAGTTAACTTCAGGAATTATTATTATTTAGAAATGCCAGAAAATCAGGCATCACTTTAAAAATGTTTAAGAGAAATCATATTCTAGTAAAACATGACTTATGGTATTTTATAAGCATGGGTCTTCATAAATGTTTATGTATAGTTTATTTTGAGCTGTACTGTAGCTTGTTTTACCTTGTATCTGAGGCATTTCAAAGCAACCTATTTTTCCCATAATGCAGCATTGTATTCTATTGCATCATGGGTATATTCCTTCTTTTTATTGTAAAGTAAATATTATAAGTGGATCCTGTATGTTTTCATGTTCTTTGAAAAATGCCTTGTTTACTGCTTGAACATTTCAACTCAAGCCATGTAAAGTGACTCATTCCCAATATGCTTTGTTTGCAATTTTATATATCATGGATTGAGTTTATCATATACAGTATTATTAATATATGTTGACACTTTCATATCCATTTTTAGTTCATTTTGAATTAAGTTATTTTGGAATAGGATTCACTTTGATATTTCATTCTTTGAAAAATATTATCAAGTGAGACTTTTTTCTGAAGGCACCATTGTGAGACGTGAATATCTATTTTGTGGTACCATGTTTGGTATTCTTTTACATAAAATGAAAATGTCAATTAATATTTCATATTGAAGATGTAGAGTTCTGCACATAATGGGAGTTTGGGATCAGAGCACTGGCCATTTTGAGCCTCAAGCTTGGATTGAAAAATCAGTTAATTATTTTCATAGTTCTTGAAAAGAATATTATTTCAGTATTTCTGTGTGGGAACATTTCAGCCATCAGTCTTCTTTCAATCCTTGCTATAAACAGGCTTGTCGGCTGTTTCGCTATGTACCTGTTACAGAGCAGCCATTTCATTTTACCTAGCTTTATCACTAGAGGGCATGTCGACACAATTAGCTTTGGGAAGCATTTAAGAAGCATATTTTCTCCTATTTTAAGGATATCTATTCTGTAGTACTGTTCTGTACTGTGTGAATGCCTTGTAGAGCTTGTCACTTGTTCCTTACTACTTCATATGGGCAATTCATTGTGACATGTTACAATTAAGAAATATCTCTTTCAAAATGTTACTTATTCATAAACAAAATGCATACAGGATTATGTGGGTGTGATATCTCTTGTCATATGACTTTGAATGGTGTAAATCATCCATCATAGTTTAAAACCCCAATAGTAGCTTCCCCAAGGAGAAAGCTGTGAGATGAGCTTCATTTATTCAATTCTAGGTTGTGTAATTATCAATAAGCTAAAATTTGCACATGATTGGATATGAATTTTCAGGTGCATAAAAAGTTCCTCAATGTCTTCCTTCGTGTGAATGCTTCCCTTAGCTATGAATTATTTTATAAGAAAAATAACAATGAAATGTCTCTCTATTTCATTCTAAATATCCAACAAAGCACCATTAGTGTTTTTTGCAAATATAACAATATTCACTTTGAGTTCTGTAAATTTAAGCTGTTTATTTTAAGTTAAATACCACCATTGTAATAATTATGAAAGCAGCCCATTGAAAGAATCTCACTGACACACAAGCATTTCACCATTTTCTCAAAAATCTTTCATCAGTTAGTTGAAATGTATGATTTTCAAATTTCTCCCTTATGTTTCTATAACATGCTTTTACTTCACTTTTTAATGTATTCAATGAGGGGGGAAGTGAGGTTGTTTCTGGGTTGGTTGTATATGTTGCTATAACGACTGTAATGGAGGCTACATTGCTGAGGTCATGTGCTACTGTCCCAAGCTTCTCATTGGTTAAATGCTTTTGCTTCTTTTTCTAGATGACCCTGTTTGCTGTAGGAGAAGCTAAAGAACTGTATCAACTACGCCTTCATTCACACACGTCATTTTGAATTCCAATGAAAGAATACTTGAAATATACATATAATTAAACATGCATACCATCACATATACCCTTTTAAAGCAGTACATACTTGTATTGACTATACTTATAGATGTTGTGGTCCTTAAAGTGCACTAAATCATTTTGTATACTCTATCTTACCTTTGTATAGCCTACTTTTAGCACAGATTTTTTTTATTAAATCCTTCCCTTATTTTGATTCTGTTTACTCTAACCCTTTAGTTTATTTATTTGTTTCCAACTATCACTTGACTAAGAGTACTTCTGCACAACTTTTGTTTGGGAAGTAAACTTCGTCCTGACCCTTTATTGAAAGAACTTTCCCAGCCAGCACTATAGTATATGCTAGATATGCATCACTTAAAGGGATAAGGGCATAGAAATATCGGCACTAACCCAACCCAAGTTCCAAATCCCAAATCATGTAGATATCAAATGCTAAAATACATTAAAAACTCCAACAATTTTATTTAGCTTTAAATTGCTGCAGATTTGTTGAGAAAGTGGATATTATTAACGTAGGAGCTGCTTTGGGCCCAGGCAAACACTAAACCCTTCATCTCTCCCATCCCAGGATAACAAATCAGATAATTTAAATGAAATAAGTCAGATAAGTCAATACAATACAAAATGATAGAATGTACCAAGGGTGACAAACAATAAGAAAAAATAAACCTCATCCACCAATCAACAACAAAATCATCATACAATCTTTAATATCTCATTTCAATACTTTTATCCAATATTGAAAATTGAACAGAATATGTAACAATGAATGAACAAAAGTCCTTATATGGAAATCTTTACACCGAAAATAAACATTTTACATAATAAATCAGAGGCAATCTGAGCCATACTTTTTCATATTTATTCAGTTCTGCATGAATTTAATGAATTTTATCTTTAAAAATTAGTTTATTTATTCAGATTTTTATGCATGTTTATATTTCATTCAGTTTATATTTAGTTTTTATTATTATATAAATCGTGAACATTTTGATTAAGTTGGTTGACAACTTTTTGAGATTTTTTGAAATTCCTGCATGCATTATGCATCCATTCATTATGTGTTATTTCACAATCTAGGTCCATGTAGTCTCAGACCCAAAGCAGTTACAGAAATAGAGAACTACCCACTATTCTTTGAAATAATCTCAGACCAAATGGGTTTTAAGCCATCCATTATAATCGCACACCAAATGGTTTACCTAATCTCAAATCAATGTTAGGACAAACTGAAATGTTGCTGCCTCATCCCTTGTAGGTATGTAGAGAATATCAGAGGGGGACATGCACCCGGCAGCCTAGTGAGTGCCGTTATGCCCACCCCCCTGAATCAGTAACAATAGACTCCATAGAAAACACAGTCACAGTGTGTATGGATCACATAAAGGGAAAGTGTAGTCGGGAGTCTTGCCGGTACTTCCACCCCCCTACCCACCTCCAGGCCCAAGTTAAAGCTACCCAGCAACGAGCTAACGCAGCTGCCGTCCAAGCACAAGCTGCCCTGGTACGAGCCTCTCACCGCTTCTAGTCGTAGCCCACAAATAGAATGTCACTGTCATGTTCTAACATATACTGTATATACATCGATAAGCTGTGGTATAGCCAGCCATAAACATGACTTGTGACATTTTAGACTTGGGTTTACTGCATCAGAGCTAGGAAACAAAGCTTTTCAAGAGTTTTTCATTATGAAAGCATTTTCCTAAACATGGAAATGATCCTTCCTTTCACCTATTCAGTTTACTTAAAAAATATCAGAAAATTTCATAAAGTGATCTGTTGCTAGGTAACTATGCAGTTACCAGATTCAGGAGAAAATTTACTTGAAATATACTTTTGCATCATTGGATAGGTTTCCTACCTCTTCTGCACTCACTGCACAGTCTCACTTCATCACGCTCACATTCACACGATATCCTCAACCAATCAGGAGCTTTAGATTGTTATTCAACTATTTAGAACCCAGCATGCATTGCACATGTATATTTCACAATGACCTATTTTCTAATGAAACAAAGAGTGATTGGTGCTCTTGAGGTGAACATTCTGACCTGTTCAACATGTGATGTTAGTAGTGATGATGTCGAGAATGGTGTTGGTATAAAATACAATTTCCTTGCTACTGGGCCAAAGCACCCTGAGACCCTCCTCTCCTTGTGTTCAAGTCTTCCTCCACTGTTAAAAACCAATGAATTTCTGACTTGTGTATTTCATGTTTACACAACAAAACTAATTGATCACTTTGAACATGGGTTACTCATATATCTACAAACAAGCTTTTACCCATTCTTCCATGTCCTTTCATAAATAATTACTAGTAATTGAATATCAAGAGAAACAATGTCTAACTGTTATTTGTTAAATGCCATTATGTGTTTTGCATGTGACTTGCAATCCCAAATAGATCATCCTCCTATGTAATTCACATTCAATAAAGGTTTATCACAATGATGTTCTCTCATACTTTACAAATAAGGAAATCTCAAATCTGGAATGTTTAATAGGTCCAACTTATTCCTTCCTAAAAGGACAATTGTTCCCATTGGCCATGTATGATATGCCACACTAATAATATCTATTTATATTAGATAATCATAATGCATAATACTAAGTTTCAAGTGAGACCATTAAAGGCAATTTTGTGATTTACACATTTAGACATAAACATCGTTCAACTGTATCAACCAATGAAGGGAAAAATCAGAACCAGCTGTATAAAAATAATGAAATATGCTTAGTAGCATCCTACAGTATATATACTTGATGTAATTCTAAATAATTTGAAAATGATGGAAACACATATTAAATGCAAAGTATCATATCAACACAAAACAGCTTATAAGTCTATATTTATAAAACCAAACCTTAATTGTGGAGATTTTATCATTCTAAAGTCCAACCCAATTATTTTAATTTTCAAGCTTTACTTAGATAGCTATGTCTCCCATGTCAGCTTTAATTTTATTATCCCATCGAATGAAGTTTGGGGGGATATACATGCAGAGAATTTAAAAGAAATACATGTTGGTCATCTTGAAAAATGGTGGCTGTCACACATTATTTTACAATTTTGGCTGTAACTGGAAAAGTAGTGTAGCGACTTTTTTATATTTGTTATGTAATGTGTATTTGGCAAAAAGAGCCACCATTTTCACGTGTATTATTTAACGTTTTTTACTACTACTCAAAGAGTAGTGGAGTAATTGTGTTGAAATTATATATGTGACTACAATCTTTTAGAACAATTTGGCCAATGAGTGGCCAAATGGTCCATTTCTACAAATGTTATTCTACTTTTTTGCTATAACTGGAAAAGAAAAGGAGTAATTTTGTTGACATTTTTATGTGAATTATTTGACAATTTGGTTAAAATGGTAGCCATGGCTGTTCAATGGGATTTGATACAACTTGGCATTGCTGTTATTTAGTTTTTGTTGCCATATTAGCATAAAACATCCCCACTCAAGCTTTTTTAAACATTAAGCAGCTGATTTTAAACTCACAGCTTAAAGCTTGGTGAATTGAAATGCCATTACAGGTGTTGTATCCTTGCCAGCCTCATTCTAGTAAAATCACTTCAACTGTAAAAAGCAGATGAATATTGATAAATCATTTTTAAAATGTACAATTGTTAATTTTTATATCTTGAAATAATGCTCAATTCCAAACAATTTAATAAAACTCAAAAAACACTCAACTCAAAAGACAAATCACATCTTGAAGATTCTTATCATGAACAGTAAACAGAATTATGTATGAAAATATCACTCAGCCCTTTTTCACATGGGCAAAATATGTTCAGGAAATGTTAACTCAAAAAATGAATGGAATCTATGAGTCATGTCACTGTAACCTAGAAGTACTTTAGGAGATCCTGTTCTCAAAATATCACACATCAGGTCAAAATATAGAATATATAGAGAGAGGAATCAGTGAACAAAATTAAGACATAAATTGCTAGAGAACAATTAAATTTTTTAGATCTTCATGTACTAGGAAAGAAATGTTATAAAAGCATCAAAATATTGAGATTTTAATTATCAAGTGAACATTTACTAAGCCCCAATGGTTGGTTGTTATGGTGACTCACATGTATAACATATGTAAAGACAGTTCAACTTTATACATTTATCTTTATTGTTAAGATTGCAGAAACACTTATAGACCATAAAAAGAAAACCCCTGAACAATTTCTATGATTTATGGAGGCAGAATGATCCACTCAGACATTCCCATCATATTAACTTATCTATCAGTGCATGGGGCAAAGTGACCTTGAACTTGTTAGTCAGGTTGACCTAGAAGATGGGAACATGAGTATGACATGTTGGAAGCACACGCCTCACTCAACTTGTAAACATGTTGAAATAAGAACATAGTTGGAATGATAAGAAAGTATAAGGTTCATCATGTGAAAATCAAAGATATGAAAACCTAAATTATACTTATTTAAATATTGTAATAGTATCAATTATTAATGAGGAACTGATCTCTGATTTAAGATTTCACTTAAGAACCCATCATGTATTATCAATATTAGTAGCCGTTTAGTAGATCCTCAAAATTAAAATAGCTGCATATAGTGGAGTTTGATAGGCATAGTAGTAACCTCATTGCCTATTTTGCCATTTATTTGTCCTTGACCTTAAACTGAGGTAATTTTTCCCACTACCATCTTGAATTGCTCTTAGTAACAACCTTGGTTGCTAAGGCTCAGTAGCATAGTCAGCTTAGTATGGTACAATTCTAGAAAGTTTACTTAGAATGTGGACAGCCATGATCAGATTGATTCCTTCTTTGAATAGTGAGGGCACAGACCCCCAAACACACCTTCATTAGTTCCATGTGCTTTATACTTTTGATCTTAAGAATTGATTATCTCATTTTGATCTGATCATGTTACTGTCCATGGAGGGGAAATCTTTAACATTATTCTATGGGAACTTATTCGATCCTTGCAAAACTTTTATGATTTCCATTTGATTTTGAATTCAGTCTCGTCTCAGAGTTGATAAAAAGGACTATATGACAATTAAATATCACACTTTGCTGGCTATTTATTTTGCCAGTCACCTTTCCTATTGGAAATCATAATAAAATTGCTAGGGATGAAGTTACCCACTCCTCCTTATGTCACAATAACCTCAATGTTTCCCTTTAAGCTTAATATCACAAATTCACATTGGTGTTTCCCTTAAGCTTGGAGTGGATAGTCAGTCTTTACTGAATGCTTAACAAAAGAGCTTTTACACTTTTTTATTTTATTTTTTTCCCACATTTGCTTCATGTTTTTTTATAATCCAAGTTTTTTCATGCCCATTTTTAATATCACTTTTCTACAGCACAGTGCTCTTCGCATTTTTTCAAGTATGGTATAAAGACTTCATGTTTTGCACCTACTGTAGCTTCATTATTTTTAGGCAACTTCAAAATAGGGATTTCATGTTTTACTGAAGGCTTTTTGTTATATTAGTTCATCATTGAATGTGCTTTGAAGCTCTTTTGTCAAGGTATTCAGGACCTAACCATGCACTTTTTTCCAGTTTTTGTCTTCAACCAGTAGAGCGCTATGATGCTTATACTAAGGGTAGGGGCTAAAATAAACCAGTATACTTGAATATATAAATTCCAAAAGAACCTTGGGGAGGGAATGGGGCACAATTCTACACCATTGGGTGTCTCATTATAACATAATTCCATGGCCCAACATTTTTCCATTTTTCATCTCCATTTTGTAATCTCTATTGTGTGATCTTCATTATATGATATAAAGAAATCCTCATTCAGGATTTGACATCACATTCATTATATTAAATTTAGTTAACAGTATAATATTTGAACATGATACCAGCACATAAGACAACATCTGAAACTTATTAACCAGATTGCAACTGGGGCATTGTTGAACCTGTCTCTACTTGGCATCAGATTAAATTAATCAACAACGCTTTTAAGGTCCAAAGGTCTGCAAAGGTCTGCTTTATCAGCCTGAGATTTATCTACATGTAGGTTGTATGTGCCCCACCTTTAAAAGGGGACGTTTAAGTCCAAACTCTGCTGAGGAGTATTTAGTATGAGCATCATTGCACTACATCTCCTTGCACATTTAGCTATGATTTTCTTCTGCAACATTGTTTACTAATTATCCTGACCAATTGTCTCTTCTTACAGACATTAGAACCCTGATTGCCTTTACATATACATGTATTACATGTTATAAAGTCTTTCAAAACATCCATTTCAGTGTCATTTTATTACATGAACATGTATGGTTCTTAGATATGTTTGCTGTGTGAGAAGAGACAATTCTCCTATTGATTATGGTGCTATATAATATAAAAGACCACTTAGGATCATCACAATTCCCAAGGCTGTCTTCCTCTAGCCAAGACTCAACAACACACATCCTTTCTCTAGTTTTACATTTAATTAGGGGGGAGGGGGTCTTTTCCATTATCTTTCAAAATATGGCATTTATTATTTATTGTTTTGAAATTACTGAGTATGAGTTGGCTCATATCTGGTATATTGAATCTGAGTGTGTTATATTGAGTTTAAGAAATGCCTGTTTTAGTAAAAAATGATGGAAAATGACTCTACTGGAAAAATGTAAAAAGGCCTCTTTTAATTTGTTCCAGCACATTGGTCTTCATCTATAGATGTGATTGTAAAGAAGAGCTAATTGACTTGATTTTTTCTATCTAGGATTATGCAAGGACTACAACACCACCTATATTTTAGACCTGCAGTGAAATTCATGTTTTCTTCATATATCTTCAATGCAATGAAAACGCTGGGGACTCTTACTGCTTGTAGTTATACTGTGTTTACACTACATTTTAAGCTTAACATTAAATGTTACAATTTTAAATTCTTGCAATGTTAGGAACATTTTTGAAATTTGGACACTGTGATACCTGTGTTTTAATAGATCAGCATTGAGATTATTTTCATGAGGAAAACATGAATGTATTCATGCTAAAATATTGTAAAGCTTATGTTCAAGCCAAACAGCCTTTCATTGTTTAATTTTGCACAAATCTCAGTCCCCAAAATATTCCCTTGATCAATTAAGTTATGTGAATTATGTGAAATCCTCATTGTGACATCACACTGGAGAGAGCATTGTCATGTAAACCTATACAATCTCTGCATTCTCTTGTGTTCCAACTTGATGTATAATAAAATTATCTCTCTCCATGTTTTTGGCTGAGGTCTATCTTGTAGAATTGGGTTGATTTCAGAAAATCAATGTCTACCATTTGTGTAAATCAGACACTAAGTTCAAGAGTTGGTGCCCAAAGAATCCATTGGGCAAACTACATGTACACTACTGTGGCACTGTTGAATATGGGGTTTTGATAGTAATTTTGTATTTGCCAGACATTTATATTCTGAAACCCCAAGCTTTCAGGGATACTCTGAATGTCTGCATGCTAGTGTAATGCACCTAACCACTCTTCCCTGACAATAGATGTCACTATATATGTCGCGTGTGTAGAGGTTCAAAATGGCTGATAAAACAAAATGGCCATCATAAACTGAAAGGCATGATTGGGCTGAAATAAGCTTTTGATTATATTTTTCATGGTTTTCAGTGCATGTTGGTTGATAAATTCATTAAAGATGGTGCTATTTTTATTTTTATTTCCCATCATGCCTTGCTGCTTGCTGTTGTCATGTGCCGCCAATCCCATGCTGTGCCGCCATCTATTGGGCTACAACGCATACTAATTATAGCAACCACAAATGGTAGAGGTCATCCAGCCCAAGAAACGACCTCTGGAGGCTACTGACGATCTTTTACTGGTACTTTTCCCATCATGCTTTTGCATGTAGCCAATAGTCAAGCTTACATAAATACCAAAACTTTTTCATGAATCTTAAGATTTATAATTTCACGATTGCTTCTGTCTTCCCACCTAAATATGGCACTAGATCAAGTCACACGGTTATTTAAAGACACATGCTTGCATGGGAAAATTTACACACTGGAAATAATTTGAAATTATTTAAATGTTATATTTTTACTTTTTGAGCTTTTATTATTCCTATTTATTTCCACTTTCACTTGGGAGTTGGTACCTAGAACCTATCATATTGGTGAGGGTATCAAAAAATTCATGTAAGCCTGATTGTTGGTTACGTAGAAGAAATGTAGATCTAGTACATGCCCAGAATTATTATGTCACAGTGGACATGCTTTATGACTGAAGTGAGATGACATGAAACACCCATTTTGAAATAAATGAGGGGGACTAAAAACTGACAATTTTTATGGAGGAGTTCCCTGAATAAGCATGCTCACAGTGACATTCTATGAAAGGGAACCAACATTTTTATTTATGCTTAAGTAACTATGGCAACTATGTGCACTGAGACACAATTTTTCTCAATGAAACTTTTTCAAGTCACAAAGTATGAGTAAGAAACTAAGAAAATTATGATTTTTTAAACGTTGTGTCATTTATATTCTATATTGCAAATGTTGATTAGCTTAGATAGTTTTGGTAGTGGATAGTGGATACGTGTTGTCTACATTTATGTTAGCATTATTCAACTACACATTCACCTTAAGTGCAGAACTTTTCATTCACCTTAACAACTCAGAATTTTGTTTACTTTCAAGAACTATTGACTAGAAACCAATAGAGAAGAAATTTGATTTTGCAAAACTGCTTGAATAACCAAATTTAAACAAATCATGTCAAACATTTTGTTTAAGTCAATAAAAGTTTTCTTGACAAAAGTTCTTCATGAATATTATAAACAAAGCAATTGTTCACACCTTTCTGTATATTTTAAATAACTTATGTTTCACAAAAAACATTTAAGTAAACAATGAGCTAATTTATTTAATCATTTTTTTCACACACTCAGAGACATATTTAATGGTTGACTATGAAGCAATGCTTCTTGCTTGTTATTCATGATCTTTTGCCTCATTATAAATAAAAAATTTGAAAAAAACAGAACACTTGCTTGATTGAAAATTTCTGAATGTGAATGAGTAGTTGGAATGAATGCAAACCTTGGCGCTACACTGGTATTTCTAGAAGCTTTCTATTCATAGGAAAACTTCTGAGAAACACAATGTATGTTACCATTGCAAAAATGTTCATTATGTTCATGTTATTAAATTGATTTAGATGAAGTGCATAACAGGACTAAGTACAGGGTTAAATATCAATCATTGTAGAGATTATGGCAAAGAACCAGATGTAGTATGACAGAGGATTTTGGACAGTCATATCTTTCACCATGAGCACTTTCTGTCCATAAATACAGTGGGCTTTCTTTTTTTATTAAAAAATAGTACTATGTTGTGTTTCAAGTGAAGTCCCTATGATGATAAAAATATCAATCAAACTCTCTGATAAAATTATGGATTAGGATCTTGTTTTTCTCAATTTAAATATTTCAAAAGTTTCTTCTATACTATATTAACAACTTCTGAAAAGGGGATGGGTATTCAGATGCGATAAAGTTAAAAACCAGGTATCTCCTGTTATTTTCCCACAGGGAAAACTCATGCTATCCATTGTTTTCAGCATTAATTTGGTCATCGAAAATTTACATCTTCAAAACTAGACTTTCTATACCATTCACTTTTGAAGAAGTTTTCAACCCCTAGTTGAATAATTTTTTCAAGCAATAAAAATCAGATAAAGAGGATCCTTTTTTGAGTATATACTGTAGGTTCAAAAATTCAAGAAAATGTTGACATGCGATCCCTACTCATCATTCTTTTGAATTGTTTAATTGATATTTTGTGTTAATGAGAAATGTCATATTTAAATTAAGAAAGTACTCAGGGTGAAAGATAATTGACTGTTTAAAATCACTTGCCATACTACACCTGGTCCTTTTATATTAGGCGGTGGTTGATTTCAACCCTTATGTGTCAGCCTGTATTATAAGCTATTGTTGACAGTTTGCCACAAAGACATGAACATATTGATGGTATTTGTAAGGAACCTGATCCTGTGACTAGTCTTCTTATTTTAACACCCAAAAGTCTTGTCATGTAATGGCTTTAATTAAATTATCCAGCAGTTTTGCTTGTCATCAATCCAATATGGTGGATTTTACTTTGACTTTGAGAGTATATTTTATGTATGTTTTAGATGCTTTTTGATGCAGATGTGAGAAAATAGTTTCCAATATAGACTCTTGTTTGGATTGATATTTTCATTCCAATTTTTTACATAATTTATGGCTTCTATTTGTTTGAAACACTTTGGCAAAAATTTTCTAAAATATTATGAAGAATTTGACTTAGTTTAATTGACTTTTATGCTTCATAGAGCTTTGATTTTGGTTTCCGTGGCAACTGATATGTATACTGAATGGATTGTGCACGGCCGTAACTGTGGACTAAGCTTAGCATGCTGAACAAACTGAACCATAGAGTATTATTTCCGTATCAGCTTGATTTAACAACTTGCTTTGTCTACTTTGTGGGAAAAGTACTTTTAGCCGATTACTGTTTATTTTTTGTCTTATTAATAATAACAGTGTTAGACCAAAGCCCAGCCTTATAGAGAGTCTAGGTCTAGAATCCAGTCCTCCAATTTCCGAGTGAAAATTATCCCAACTCCACCCCCTTGCCCCCTCCCCAGAGGAAGACTAGTCATGTGTATTGATATATGATATATTACATGTAGCGCCACCTATGTTTGCCCATCCTGAACGTCATCTGTATTTGAGTTATGTTATTATAGCAGGCTGGCATGCCTATGACGAGTCCTAATCAGATGATGGAACAGCTGTATAAACGTCCCGCCATGACTGGGAAGGGGGGTATGCCCATGTACCAGCCACCCAGTGCTGCTTCCTATCAGCAACAAATTGTCGCTCTACAGCAACTGCAACAACAGCAGCAACAACAACAATACATCCCAGTGTCATGTAAGTCTCTTAGCAACACACAACAATTCTCAACATAGCAACTATTCATACTAGCATATATCAGGATCTGGGATTGTTTCTGGGATTTCCTAATGTTGCATTAAAGCTTTTTATTTATTTTTATTGAAGTTTCCTGGGTTTGGTAAACATGAGATGGTGGAGGGGACAAGTCCATGTACATAATACAGAATGATTTCATATTGAACGTTGAGTATTGAATTGAATTTTACAAATAAAATATGGGGTATTTTATGATTTATAGCTGGTTAAAGCATTAGTGAATGGTTGTATATGTTATTTTCCAAGGTATGTAAGACAACTAACTAACAAACTATTAAGTAAGAGTTTGGTTTAGCTCAAATGATATCATTGTATACGGTGTTCAGTCTATTACAAAATCTACATGTAGTTGTAGACTGATGCCTATATAATGCATTTTTATTTCATTTTTTATCTTATTATTTGAAAAAATGTGTGTAAAGAGTGCCATCCAGTGTTTATATTGAAAACTTAAAACAGCAAATGACCGATTATATGGCTGCTTCTAAAGTTCTCATTTTACTCACTAGATGGCTCTTTGTTTTCAATATAAGAGCCATCTAATGGTTAGATTGAGAACTAGACTAGCAGATTCCATATCAGTTCAGCTTTCCCTAGATGCTTTGGCTATATAGGCTTTAGCTTCAAAAATCACTTGATGTTTGCCCATATACTCCGCAATTTGTTGCTTTCATTGTATGACAATAGATCAAAACATACATTGCTTTCACTTTTGGTATAAGGAGATGCTTGCTTTTGCATATTCAATTTTTGAGAGAGAACACTATTCATTTCTCTTAACCTACTTCTTTCACTGATTTTTCTGTTTATTGCCCAAGATTCTGTATGATTGTACAGTAGAAAATGTCCCATAGCACATCAGTCAATACTTACAAAACTTTCATATTTTATAGCCAGAATAACCATTTGTTCATTTTTTTATTTAAAATTCCAAACCTTTTTCAGAGCAATCCTTGCATACAAATTAATACATCCTGTTTGCTGTTTGAGAATAACTTTGAAAACAAAACTAAACTTCAACCTCAGAATTCACTAAGTCTTACTTGAAGCCGGATGGCCACCCACTATAACTTTCACATATTATTGTCTTTTTTCATGCATTTCCACTGTGCTTTTCGCTCAACTGCATGTTTTGCTTTCCACCATTTGCTGGGCTTGTAAACTGTGTTGCCAACCATAGTGGCAGCAGCAGCGTTGCAGAACCCATTGATTCAGCAGGCTACTCCTGGCAGCGTCATGACAGCCACTTCTACAACAAATGGATCACTCTTCACCAATATCACTAGCGTAAATTACTTTGATGATAAAAACCAGGTTAGCTTCGATCATCCTTGCACTTTGCGACAGGCTTGTTGCTTAAATGACAGCATAGTGTGCCTAGTAACCCATATTGGGTTTATATATGCAGCACGATAGCTTCAATATGACATGAATATTCACTGCTTTTTTGTATACCCTAGGCCCCATAGGCGTTTATAACGGTTTGACACTAAGTCCCGATTCAGCACCACAGTTTGGTAAGATTGAACGCTTACATGCTTTTGAAGTCTTCACTTGCAGCAAAATCTTTCAACATCTGCTTGGATTTAATCAGATACCATAGCAATGATCATGGCATACCCCAAATTATAAATCATGACAAACCACAAATATTCATGACACCATTTATTTTTAAGCAACAAGTCTGGATTTATATTTGAGTTAAATATTATATTTCTAATATAACCAGTCAAGAATTTTGCATTTTGTTCAGCTATTTTCCAGAAAAAAAACATTAAAGGCTTTCATATGCTTACCGCAACGCCAACAAATACATTTTGAAATAGGGTTGAAAGTTAGGTGTGATACAGTGGAACGTTCAAGAAAGTTTTATTATATATCCCATACAATGTATGCATTATGGATACCCATTTAGCCATTGACATGACATAGATTAGATGAACTATCTCTCTGAAAATTCCTAAATCTTTGCAGACTCTCAATCTCTGGAATATGACTTGCCCGTCCTAAGATCTGGGGATTGTTGTCTTTAGAATTATGGAATTAGAGATATTAGTCTATATTATAGACAGGATTTCAAAGCATTGTATTTGTGTAACATAATGAAGACTAATTGGGATGTATAAAAACAGTTTAATAAAACAGAAAACAATGTATCACACCTACATTGATGATAGTTCTAGTTTAAGACATGCTTTTTAAATATTGAACATATAGTTCATCATAATGTAAATATATTTTTATACTCTACTGCATGTTATAGGCCAGAGAACATCAATATGTCAGTTCACATAAGTCATGCAATTAATTTTCTTTGGCCTTATGGTAAAGGTACTTGGACCTATAATACATACTACTGTGGCCTTGTTATAGTTGTAAATAGTCCATGGTACAGTATAGGGCAAGCACGTAGATTTGGAAGTGATTACTAGGTCATATATTGAGCTATTGCAATCACCCATTTGTCCTTTTGACTGTCCACATGCCTACTATCAACAAAATTGTGGCACATTTCATGATTCCAATTTCAAGCTATCTTTATTCATATTCAAAGCAAAAAGCCCCATATGACCCAGCCAAAAAGCCTAATGACTACCACTTTACTTTGAATAGCTCCATTTTAAAACCAGAATGCCACCTCAAATAAGTCCATATGTTGAATGTATCACTGCCAAAATCTGAATGCCCTTGCTGACAGGATTTATAAAGCTTCCTTTAGAAAGCTATGCCATGGACAAATACTTTTATCATTTAAACTTTTTTTTCCAGTCGGGTAAAACTATTATGAATTATTTATTGACACAAACAATCTTGATTTTTTTATATTCTTATGGAAATAATGTCTAATTTGTTTTATGATATTTACTTGTATATCTTTATCCCATCAAACGAAGCTTGTGGGATATAAAGAATGGTTCCATCCATATATCCGTCCATCCATCTGTCGGTATGTGCATATGCCTGTCCGCCCATGCCTCCGGGCAATAACTATGTTTTATACATGTACATGTATGCCCCATGTGAGTACAAATTTTGCTCACAAGGTAATTTTCAAAATGGCCACTGATTTCAAATGGCCACCATTTTAGTATCAATTATACAGTATCTTAGGTACAACATATAAAACTGCAATAATAATGTTCTAAATGCAACAAATTTATAAGAAAGTTGAAAAAAAAAATTTTAAAATATGGTGGCCATCTTGAGAAATGGTGGCCATTACACACTATTTTACAATTTTCTGTAACTTGAAAAGTAGTAGAGCGATTTTGTTTATATTTGATATGTGAATGCTCATAAGCATGGTACACTGTCTTTTTATCACACCATCGGTGGGATATAGTCGTCATGCTGGTCGTGGTCGTGATCGTGGTTGTGATCGTGATCGTCCCGCTTTTTGTCATCGCCGTTTAAGGAAAACTGCTCATCAGATTTTCTCCAAATTCGCAGAGATGATAGAGCATATGAAGTACTAGAGCTGATTAACTTTTGGGTGGCCATCTTGTTTTCTGGCGGCCATTTTGAAGGTTTTTCGAAAAATCTTGTCATCGCCATTTCAGGAAAACCACTCATCCGATTTCCTTCAAATTTACACAAATGATAGAGGATATCAAGTACTAGAGCTGATTAACTTTTGGGTGGCCATCTTGTTTTCTGGCAGCCATTTTGAAGATTTTTTGAAAAATCTTGTCATCGCCATTTCAGAAAATCCGCTCATCGGATTTCCTTCAAATTTACACACATGATAGAGGATATCAAGTACTAGAGCTGATTAACTTTTGGTTGGCCATCTTGTTTTCCGGTGGCCATTTTGAAGGTTTTTCAAAAAATCTTGTCATCCCCATTTCAGGAAAACCGCTCATCGGATTTCCTTCAAATTTACACAAATGATAAACACGCGGTAGTATCTCTTCGGGACGTATCGAAACCACTCCGTCCCGAAAAACCGTTAATTTGAATTTAAAACCTACCCCAGTGTTTGAAAATCAAGGATTGTGAGTCTCACACTTCACCGTTTTTCTTCAAACTTGTTCCGTACAAAGCTTCACAGAAATACCTTTCAGTCGATATATTGTTTTCGTGTGCAAAGTACCTCGTTTTAGAGGCGTTTTGGTCCCCAGCTGTGAGATAAAGCAAATTTTCATAACTTTCAACTGTAAGTCAAGTTATCTCGCCAGTCTTTTACCCATTCTCGCCCATAATTTCAGAATGGACTCCCATTACAACCTTTCATCGCTACGTCTTGATTTTTGGGCATCAAACGCAGCAGTTTCTAAATCATCCACACATCTCTTCAAATTTGACCAATACGTCCCGTCATCTTCCACTACGCCCCGCCGAGTCTATCACTATACACGTAGATTTGCATTCTAAAACAATTTGTCCATCGATGTGTCCGTTTGTAGGTTGCCATTGTCGATTCTAAATACCAATCGGATTGTGTTTTAAGATTTACCCATTCTTGTCCATTTTCAATATACCTATAATAGGGTGGTCCAAAATCTCCCTAAAATTTAGATTTCCCGATATTGCAATATAAAGATTTTAATTACTGAACAATTGAAAATATTTTTAAGAAACGTTTAAAGTGCCCTATCCTTGAAAAAATGTTAAAATGCGAAAGGATGGGTGATGTCAATTATATTATTTTCAGCATAACGTTAGAAACATGTATCATTTTATATGGTACACGTTTCATAATGTAATCCAATGGAATCATACAGAAGAAAGGTTGACACACAACAGTTAAAATCTTTATATTACATTATCAGACCAAGTCAGTAGATGTTGTTTATATACCAATTAGTGTTGTATGATGGTGCATTCTTGGTTTCCTCACAAAATCAAATACAGGACAATTACATATAATTAAAGTTAAAAAGCAACATCTTCACAAACATTTAAATTATCAATTTCATGCAATCAGTTATAGTTATACT